AGGAGAATTTGGCCCTGTATCTCTACAAGAAATAATTTCCTAGATGGATAGGAGTCCTGGTACCAAGGTAAATGTGACAGAAAATCTGTGATTAGGTTGGATTGACTTCTACACTGGAAACCTTTTTTGTAAATACTATGTATAAATACTAGAAAAATGCTGTTTGTTTTATATATCTGTGGATAAACACAATTTTATTAGAGCTACCAATATGTAATAAGAGAAGTAGCCATTTTAAGGAACAAGTGTCTTATAGCAGCCCCCACAAAATAAGGGAAGGAATAAAACAATCTTAAAATATTGTTGAAAAAGGAGTTCCATGTTACCACTAAAGGTAGACCTGGTTTTCTTTTTCTGAGGACTTTAAACTTCTAGATCTTGGTTCTTCAAAGTGCATCCTCTCTAATATTAAAAAAAAAATCAGTAAGAATCACACTTTTCCCTTAGGAATGATCCAATATTTCACACCACTTCTTGAATCAGAGGTCAGATTTAGGGCCACCTTTCCTAAGTATTTTAATCAAGGCTTATCATATGTGATCAAGTGATTCCTTGTCTATGTAGATGCTTGTATTGCATAGTCTAATTGCTGTTTCCTAATTTTGAGACAAAAAAGACAAAAACCAGAAGTGTTTCTTACATGTTTTTAAGCCACCAGTGAGTCAATAAATTATTGCAACCACTCATTATTTTCTGAACTTCTGCTTGCCTCAAAATGGAGAAAAGGATGGGAACAAGCTTAATTGCTTAGACTTGGACACATTAATACGATTCAAATTAATGTTTTCTCTTCCTTATGAATTCAGATTGAATATTCATAAGAGTTTTTCAGGGGCTCTGAACAACTGCTGTACTTCTGTAATTGGTTTTTGGGCTTTTTTGTACAGTAATGTCAGCATTTCTAAGTTCAACAGCCAGTGGTTATTTCTGCTTCTTGATTGTAGATGAATCATACCTTCCAGTTGTGTTGGGATCAGTTCCTCATCTATTGAGATCATTGCAAAGTCCCAAACCTTAGTGAAGCTATCTTACTTTTCCACAGATGTTGACATATACACCACTTCTTCTGTCTCTTCTTAGTCTCTGCTTTCCTGCTCTCCTGCAAATCAGGTTCCAAGTTCCCATTTGCTACTGAAAGTAATGGAAACTTTCCCTTAGGACCAATACTCCTCCTCATTTTGTCCTTGATGGAAAGTAAACCAAATCCCATCAACACCCTTAGCATGGTGTGCAAGTTACAACCAAGCACAGAAAACTTAATCTGCGTGACCTGGATATTTATGCAATACAGACTTTATCAGTAAAGTATCTCTCTGCTGAAGGCCAGAGCATCTAAAGATTTTTTCTACAACATTAGTTGCCTGCCTGTTAGCTTTTTAATTATGTGGAATGGCCTGTGAAGTGTTCACACCTCTGCCAACAGCAGTTAGGCACTCCAGAGCCCCACTGAAGTCATCGCTGGAAGTCAGGAGCTCCATATGGAGCTTCACTGTCATACAGGATTAGTCAAAAGTTCCTACCTTTACTTTCTACTCTGTTTTCATGCTCTGAGTATTTATTCCACATGAGTTTTACCCCAGTCAGCTGTTTTAGCCCCAACATATTCTCATTCCCCAGCAACACAACCTTAGACCCCACAAATAACAGTATAAGTCAAAAGTAATGTGATGGCAGACATGAATCATAACATTTGAGACAGCATCTCTGCCTGAATCTGTGATTCATTCTGATTTATTGACAAGAAAACATGGCAAAAACTTTCTGCCGTTTGCATTGGCTCCTTTTATTTTTAAAATCCATTGCTGGTAACTAAGTTGCAGCCTATTTATGATCAGAACTCTACAGTGGTTTACCTGTACTGTCAAGTACCGGTGAAAGCCACTCTTGTGTGCAACAAAAACACTTACTAATCCATACTGTTGCCTTGAGACTGAAGGGTTATTTCAAAATTAACCTTGACTTCAGCACAGGGTCTGTTAAATTGTGTTCAGTTTCTGTGCATATGTTTTAGTGCAGACATCCTAGTGTACGAATAAACTCTGTGTCTGGTAAACTTGGGACCTTCCAAATGCAGTTTGATATTATGCAAGATCTTGTTAACTTTATCTATGTTTCACTGCCTTTTCTGCAGAAAGGAAGAAGGGGAAATTGGATCAAGGTCTTAGTTTACAAGTATTCATCAACAGCGTGGAAAAAAAGAATCAAAGCCACATTAATAAACTAAATATTACCTCCCACTGATCGCTGGCTACCAGGCAGATAGAGTTCTTTCTGATGGACTCCTAAGAGGGTCTTCAATAAAGTAAAATATTGGGCTTGACGTTTCTCCTGCTTGCTGCCAGGAAGGTCTAAATTGAGTCCCAGTTGTTTTTCGGATTAATCCATTTGAGAGTATAGAATCTGGCAAGAGTATTTTACAACTTTTTGAAAATGTGTTTAAGCTTAATGTAGTTTTGGGTATTTCATGTATGTGTGCTTAATTATAAAACACTCATCTCCTATGAAGTACAAGGTATTAGCATGAATGCCTAAAGAGACTTGGTAGAAATAAGCAAGTGCAGCAGCAAAAGCAGTGCTCAGCTTGAACGAGGGACAGAGCCAAAGCATCTGCAGTGCTTTTCTGAAACCTTGCCATGTTTTAAAAGTGATGACTGCTCCTGCAGTACGCCTGTTCCTGGGGGCCTGGTTCTTCTTGTTTACACCAGTTTTAGCTCAGTTGACTTGAGAATTATTATATTCCTGTAAATCAAGAGAAGGAGGAGACTTTGGCTCAGTCTTTGCTGTCAGTTGGAGAAATATAACTCTCCTGTGCGGACTGTAAAGAAATCTGAGCATAGGAAAAAAACAGTTAAAGAGTTTAGAGGCTATCTTCAGTTACAAACCCCTTCTTTTGAAGTTTGGTGAAGGATGTGGCAGTAGCACATGTAAAGGAGTGCTCATCTTTATGAGCAATTAGCTTTTAAGCACTACATGACTGCACTGTGGCTTACAACTGGTATGATCTAGACCTGGCTGTTAGTTTTTCAACCCAATGTTTTTCCTTAAAAAAACCCCTCCACTCCTTAATGAAGCTGAAGTTGCTTTCTCTTGAAAGGCATTGGCTTTGACTGAATTTTTGAAGGGGAGACTTTTTCATGGAGGCTTGAATTTTGAGAGGAAATAAAACCTCATTGCGGAAGGGAAAACCTCCTCCTGGTTGGATGAGCTGCAGGTGGGGGGAAACATGGTGAGAAGAGGGTTTTGTACACTCTCACATGCCAGGTAAAACTGCAAAAAACCACACAAGTGGTCATTCTGATATCCTCTTCCTCCCTGATCTCCTGTTCTCCGTGTTGTCATCCTGAATGGGAGGTGGTAAGGAGTTTTTGCCTTTAACATGTCTAAGACTCACTTTTGGTGAGTCTTAGACATGTTAAAGCTCTCTTTAGCATAAAAATATTCAGAGACAATTCTTAGTGTGCTGTCTATCTCTGTGCTAGAAGCCTGTGGATCACCAAAATGGTCCTGCTTGAGTTCTGATCCTCTGGGTATTCTGGGTCGTTTCAGACACCTACCATCATTCCTCAGGTTATCCGATGCTTCTTCAACTTACACCAGAAAACTGTTCCAGCTTCTCCAACTCTCTTTTCTTTGTTTTTGGGGCTTTCACAAATACCAGTTTTGCTCTGTGTATACAGCCTAATATATATACATGCAAATAGGACAAGGTGCATTATATCTATAATTAATATGTAGTTTGTAAAAATCATCTACTACTTCCTGTTCTGAATGAGGATAGACACCAAAGGCCCCAACAAAATGTATCACAGCTCACTACTTGTTCTGGCCATAGTAGCATGTAATTCTTGTAAAGGCAACCAAACAAAATTTGTCAAGGTTACCAAACTTCCTTCTGCTGGAAGCATAGCCAGTCTCTGATGCTGGTACTCTGCCAGTGACATCTGACAGCAGAGTATAACAAATAATCTAATGCTGATCACAAAAAATAGCAGGGAGAGATGGGGTTTATGTAAATTAATTTAGTTTTTAGAATTAATTCTTTGGCATGACTGGCAAGTGAAATCGTAGAGGATTTTTCCTTCTCTGGCTCTCGGATGAGTTTAGCACAGCACAATTGTTAGCCCTATAAAAATTACTCCACTATGGGAGCACACTTACTGCATGATCAATCCTATCACATTGATGCAAATAGAACAAGGTTGAATTGGCACACAGCATGGCAGGGTAGGAACAGCCAAAAAGGAAAATGGTCTGAAATCCCATGGGGAATGACTGTACACATGGCTATACAATAGAGTAAATATCTGCTCAAAGACAATGAGAAGCAGGGTACTCTCTTTTGCTTCCAAAACATAAGAGACATTTCTCACAATTATGACATCAAAAGACCAAATGTGTCCTTGGACATAATGTATTATTAATTGTGGTTTAGGTTTGAATGATTTGAAAGTGTGATAAGATACCTGAAAATGTTGGATAAGCATATATTGGAAATATTATTTCAATTACACAATAGATTTTCATCAAGTGCCTATAAGAATGGTTACTGGAAAATTAGCTACTGGTTATATTTTGAAAACAGAGTTGAGCTTGACATATAAACAGAAATAAATTTTATAATTTTGTGGCTTTTTTGCTGACTCCTCAAGGCATTGCAGATTTTATTTTAATCTGACAGACCTTAATGGCTTTTAGAAAAATGTTTTATGAAGAAAATCTCAAGTCATTGCCCAAGAAAACCAGTCCAAGATTATTCTACCATCTGTGGGCAACTTGGATGCACACAGACATTAATCTATCTACTGGTCATGTCTCGGGTTTACTGACGAAAAAGCTCTTTTATTAAAAATGCCACTTTCTGATCCTTATTGCTCAGGAGGGCTTAAGCCATAATGTGACATCTGTTGGCTCAACCAATTATGTATAAGGCATTTTTGATGCAATGGTTTTGTTAGAACATGCCAAAATCATTGAAACTTTAATTGGAAAAATTTTCACAGGTCCAGATTTTAATTTCCAGCGAGAGTGGGAAGAAGAGGAGAACAGAGTTCATTCATTTCAGAAGAGTCAGTAGTTAAGACATCCATCTGCTGTGAGAAGCCAGATTCATATGCCTGTTCTGCCATTTTCATCTTCGTGTGAGTTGTTAGAATGAAGATTTTAGAGCAGCCTGACCTGGTGAGTAAAACTGATATAGGAATTAAAAAAAAAAATGGAAGGGGCTTATTTTGCATTAGACAGCAAATAAAATGGACATGCATGGCAAAATAAGCCTGTTTGACTGCACTTTAAGCAGCCTGGATAAGTCCTGAAATAGGCTGAGGTGAAGTTATTGTGGAGATGGTAGTGCAAGAAGGAAGAAAATATATTCTTAATGTAACAGTAGAGAATTGACCTGACAGTACTACTCTTGAACTATGAATACCACTATAAACACAAGTCAGGGATTCCTTCTGAGCACAGAGTATTCACAAGCAGCTTTTTTAGGTCACAAGCACCTGAAGACCCAAGTTAGAGCCATGAAAGTCAGCACAAGTGTGTCAAGGTTCCCCTAAATGCAGACAAAACAACCTCTAATCAGATAAAATAATCAGGAAAATATTCCTGATGCTATAGAAGATATCTAAAGCACTGAGCTGTGTTTTGGTGCACCTGTACTAGGGTTTTAGCCCTAACCAGGCCAATGGGTTGACATAGAAATCTTAGTCCATACCCCTCATGGTTTCCACTTATGGTGAGGTCTCCAACCATAGAAATTGATTCCCTTCAGATGAAACTAAACTGAGGTATGTTTAGGAGCATGCTTAATGGGCTGTATCTAGGGCCTTGCTTAATGGACATCAACCATAAATAGAAAATCAGAGCGCAGGTTAGGGCTACTTACTACCTATGTTGGCTATAAACCAGAACCAGAGTTTACCAAATGTCAGATTTCATTTATTATTCTATGCTATTCATTAGTTCTGAGTTTTTCAGATGTAGACACATTTTCCTTAATTGAGTACTCATAGATGACCACTTCAAAACCACAGAACTATATTTTTCTAAGCAAAAGTTTATCACACACATTGAAAAGGGTGTTCTAACTTTATAGAAGTGCCTTTTTATACTGCCCCAGAGCCATATTTGCAGTGTTTTTTCCAATGATTTTGGTCTCTGATCCTGAATGCTTTGTATGGACCATGAAAGTTAAGGAAGGTGAGCTTCTGGTCTTGTCTCTTGAAGTGTTTGATATACTGCCTTGGACAGAAGATGCATTGAACATACTCCAGGCCAGCAAAGGAGGTTAGAAGCTGGTTACATTCAAAAAGTACAAGCCTGTTACGGAAGGACTGCTTCAAAGCAGAAATTATTAATTCCTTATTTCTTAGACTTTGACAAACACAGAGATTTATTTGGAAAAAAAATAAAAATGGAGCTGGTGACGGTGGCCCATCCCTAGGGCCACATGAGAACTGTATTCAGCATAATCATGATATTTCTTTAAAAGTTTCTAAATAGGGTAGTAGCCCAGTTGTCTGAGAAACTAAGGACCTATATATATATATATATATATGAGAATAAGTGAAACATCATAAATAAAAAAAATTTGACATCATATGTAACATAAATTATACAGAAACAAGATTTGCATGAAACATTTCTAGCAGTATGTATGAACCCAAGGGACGGAAAAGAAGGTGTAGTTAATAATGCTCATTAATTACAAAAGTTTTTTACATCTAAGTTTTCTTGTGTCCTACATTCTAGACAGCTGCCTACTTTGAAGCATAATTTTTATCAGATAGTTCTATGCCTTTTTTGTTATGGTGAATAAACTTGTAGCAACTGTGACGTTCATGTGATTCCTATTCCCATTGGAGGATGAAGTTTCCTTTGGTGAAATGAGATTCTGGCAAAAAAGGCTATTAATAAATGTAACTTCTTATGCGTAGCAAACTATTTTGTGTACTTGCAGCATGGGGAATTCTTCAAATGGTTTTCTTTTATGAATAATTGTAAATTTAATGTTGGCATCAATAACTTCTTTAAATGGCTCATTCTATATCTGAGTTACACACTTCTTAGCAATACAGCTCAGCTTTGATGAATCTTGTGCATAATTTTAGCTTTTACTGTGTGAGTACAAAAGCAAGGAAGACGCTGGAATTGTTCAAATTACCTGGCTCTTAAATGGTTTGAGAGGAAAAAGGAATGCATTATGCTTTGGTCATTGAGATTGTAGAACACAATGGAATCAATATTTTTTGGCTTATTATCCAGTTGCAAAACAGATTCAGAAAAATAAAAAGGCAGCACACCTACTGAAAAAATAGGTTTTCTCAAAAATGATGATATATAGAGAAGCAGGATTTTCCTGAAAGCATCTTCTATAGTCTGTGGGTGACAGCTGTAGACAACTGTAACCAAACAGTTACAAGAAGCTGTGATATTCATTTTAGGGCATCTCTGTTTGCCAGTTGGAGTTCTTTCTGCACAGGATACAGCACAGGGCAAAGGCAGGCACAGCTACAGCTTGAACTGCTCTGCATCTGTGTTTGGAAATATTACCATCAAACAGGAAGCTTCTGTACATGGTGCTGTTCCAACAGTTCAATGTCTGGGAGCAAGTTTTAATGCTTTAAACACCCCTCTCACCCCACTATGGGGAACAGCCTAAAACTCAAGGTTGTTTTGGCTGAAGCCTTTGTCCTGGTTCTTGCAGTGCACACCATCATGCACCATGGAGTTATACATTTTTCAAAATTTTCATATTTGAAGTATTTCAAAATTTTCATATTTGAAATTTTTCAAATAGTATATTTTTCAAATTTGAAAAATTTTTGATTTTTCAAATACACCTTAACGAAATTCCCCGCCTTCCCTGAGGGTAAATCAGGATTGTTCCAGTCTTTCCCACACATCTCAGAGGCCTGGGATTGTTGAAGCGAGGTCTTATCACTCAAAACCAAGGCATTGAAGACCTCAGCCTTTTCCATAAATGCTGTCACCAGTCTCCTGACTCATTCAGCATTGGGTCCATGTTTTCACTGCTTTTCCTTTCACCTTTAATACACCCATGTTCAGCTCCAGTTAGGCTTTGGCTTTTCCATCCTGGCATACTTGAGTCTCTGCATTCCTTCTGATCTTGCTTTCAGCTCCTCTATTCCTTCTCATATTTGAGTTTTATGAGTTTTACCTTCTTCTCAGCCCATGCAGGCCTCCTGTCACCTTGACTTGATTTTCTTAGCTTTGGGATGGACTGTTTTTGAGCTTGGCAGAAGTGACTCTGCAAAATTACTTAGCTTTCCTGGACCTTTCTTCTTTCATGGACCACATCCCATAGGAGTTCTCCAAGCAGGTCTGTGTCAAGGGCAAAAACAGCTCTTATAAAAACCCAGTGCAGTGATCCTGCTTTTTTGCCTCATTCCCCTTTCAGTATGCTTAGCTCCACCCTCTCATGGTTCCTGCAGTGAAGTCTGCTCCTGACTTTCTCATTCCTGACCAATTTTTCATGTTTGCAAGGATGAGGTCCAGCAGAGCACGTGTCTCAGTGTCTCTTTAATTACCTGTGTAATGACTCAAAGCAGAAAACATTTCACATGTACTTGAATTAAGCCATCCAGTATCTTAGAAAATTCAGTTGTCTCTCACATTCAGATATTTTGCCATAAAGCCATTAGTTATTTTTCAGGCTTTGAAGTCATGAATAGGCCAGGGTGCCCTATTTCACCTCTCAGGACTATGTTTTACTTTTTGGTTGATTTTTAGAAAGCATTATTTGCACATCTTTGTCAAGTTATGTTAATTTTTATTTTGGAGGTGATATGGTTTCTGCAGTTCATAATTGCTGCTATCTTTACTGAGCAGCAAAGCAATGTCAGAAAAGTGCAAAGAGAACAACTACAGAATGAAGCAGATACACCCCTAAAAAGCTTAAAAGATAATAAGGTCTTCTTGAAAATGGCTGGGTTTTTTCCCTTGTCTTGCTTGATCTGCCTCCCTTGACCCAGTATATGGTAGGAAGGCTGGAGTTGCTGGGACCCCAGGGAAGAGTTTAATGAATAAATGTCCTGTGTTCTACATTATATGGATCCTGCCTTAAAAAAAAATAGTTCTTAAAGTTGATGAGCTAAAGATTTGAAGCCTTTCCCTCTGCTCATACATGCCTTGAAAAATAAGATAAAAGACATAATAACCTCCAGCTGAAATTAATAAAACTATCCTCTTGCAGTTTGCATAAAATGTGAGGGCTAGACTTTGAAAAGTTGGAGTCTAAGACATGCTCCAAAACTTAGGCTGAGGTTCTTTAGTTCTGATTTTTTCTCCAAGCAATGAGCTCTCAGCATTTCTTACTAAAGAGGGGAGAAATTTCTGAGGGCTGATATGGCTTGAAAAGTGGGACTTTTTAAAAATGGATTCAACATCTTATTTCAGAAGGAAGTGAAACGGCAATTTAAATATCAGGCCTCAGGTCTATTCCTGCAACAGATCAAGTGGAAGCACATCATTTACATCAGGTCACTCCTAAACTGAGACCTAAGTGCTACAGCTTAGAGGGGGATTAAAGTGGATGGGAGAGGAAGTGAAGGAGGTAAACCTTAAGTGTCCATCTTTTAGTCACCTTTTCCCCTCCTGTGCCACCCAGAAAATCTGCTGTTTGGTTTTTTTTTTTTTACAGTTTATTTAAAAGGTTTGGTTAAATATTTATAAGCGGTCGCACACATTTCCTCTTACTTTTGAGTGAGTGGCAACACAAAAATAAGATTTTGCAACTTTTCTAGTCCCTATACTCTTCACAGGGCCAAAGCCAGCTAAGCACTTAGGAGGAGCAATTCATTCTTAGTGACCTTGATATTTACAAATAGATGGATAAAATCCTAAATATTTTTAGAGTCTCCTAACATTACACTGGAGCAAACCCCCAGAAGTCTTGGTGATGCTTACCAAAGGAGGGCAATAGATAGAGGTGAACCTAACTTTGGACCAGTAGCTTATGGTGTTCTGGGCAAAAAAATAAAGAAATTTTGTGTGAAATTTGGAAAGGCTACCACAGAATGCCAAGGTTCCATATTCCCAGATGCAGAAACACAGGAAGGAAGAAAACCAATACACCTTCAACTCCATACATATAAAGTGAGGGCTGAAATCTTCTCAAACCACTATGGAAGGCTAAAATAGCATTTTTTTTTCAACCA